TGGGGCTGTCCCACACTAAAGGCATTCAAGATGTAGCGGAACAGCCATCTGAGAAGGTTGATTTGACTTGGACTCCTGCACTGGGCAGTGGGTGGACCCAATGGCTTTCTTGGCTCCTTATGAACCAGAAAACACCGCTTGTTTTCCACTATTGGCCAGGGTTTTCTTGCTGCTAGTTTGCATGAAGAAAGTTATACTAATAGTGAGAGGAGGAAAATAGCGAGAGGAGGAGGACTCTCTTCCACATGTTGGATGAATCACTTCTGCAGCCTCATGTTTAGGAGTGGCAGAACTGGTTTGTTATAATGAGATGGCCTAGTGGATCCTGTGGATTTCTGTGGATTTCTGATTAGCTGTGCCCTAGTTCCACTTTGTGTTCTGATAGATGAGCTTTTCCTATGTGCATACTAAGTGAGGGACTGGGTGAGACTCAGGATAAACTGTATGCAGACTCTCCAATGTCTTCCTTCTGCCCACTGGAACAACCCCTTTTCTGCCTCTCCCAGGTCAGTTTTCCAATCTAGAGAGGGAAGTGGCACAGCCCTCTCAATGCAGGTGCAAGGGGGCCAGGGCAGATGCCAGTCTGCTCCTTCAGAGCACTCTCTCCAACTTTGGAAAGCATTTTCCAAGCCATTCTATGGCCTCTGGGGCATTTGCCCAGGCACAGTACAATTTCCCTCTTAACCAGTGATGTGGATATCTGTGTCACATAGTGGCCACTGGGGACATGTGAGGTTTAGAAAAATGTTAGCTTTCTTTCAGAGTGAGTTTCTAGCCCTCGTAATAGTCAGACAAATTGGCAGCATCTGAGGATGGTTTGGGAACCTTCAAGTGTTGCATACACTCCATTCCCTGTATTTAGTGACCTAGTTGCAATTTTAAATGGATTTCCCTTCTTGCATGCTCCCTATCTTCAAAAATAATAGATCTGTTTATGGGAAGCAGAGTTAATTGGATCATGTAATACTGGGGTGTGCTATAGCAGGTGTCAGAAGCACTGGATTTAAATGAATTGGCTCAGAAAGTAGGGTGTGCTTCCAGACAAGTATGGCACGTCAGTTGGAAGGCAGCGTATATTTCTCCCAAACAGGTTTTCTGCATTAAGCATTAAAGGTAGAAATGGTGACAGAATATGGTATGGTTGCAAGTAGAAATGATGGCCTCCGGACCTCTGTAAACTACCACGACTGAGACAAAGCAACAGTACCATAATAGCATAGTCGGGATGTGCCCACACAGGTAGCTTTTGACCAAATTAATATTCTTCTTCCTTTTGGGGAGTCTTTAACTTTGATTTTGAAATTTCTGGAAAAAGTAAAGGATTGATGCTCTACTGTTTAAGACATACATTGAGACTTTAAAAATAGATAGGAGTTGATCTTTAACGTATGAAGTAAGATGGCCAGTGTGGTGCAGTGATTAAGAGCATGGGACTGGGACTCAGGTGATCCTGGTCTGTGCTCAGCCATGGAGCCAACAGGGTGACTTTGGGCCTGTCACAGACTCTCAGCCTGACCTAACTCATGGGGTTGTTATTGTGGGGATAACTTTGAGAGCAGCAGGAGGAAAATGATGTAAGCGGCTTTGAGTTGTTGTAAGAAAAAAGCAGGATATAAATCTAATAGATAAATCTTTGTCAAGCTGAAATGGAAGAGCATTGACAGTGTTTGTAAAAGCACCTTTCTTCCTATTGCCAAACATTATCATATAGGATGGGCAACATGTGGCCCTTGCTACCCCACTAAATTTGGGATTGATCCCAACATTTAAAAAGAAATAAATGGCATTTGTAGCTACTACAGAGTGCCAAGAAGGATAACTTTAGTTTGCAGATCAACAAAATGTTTATCTCATGTGTGTGAGTTTCATAGAAAGAGTGGGGGGGGGGCCCATAAATCAACCCCCTTTGATCTTACCACTGTATTTGTCTGGGCAGTAGCAGTACCCCAGTGGGGTAGTAGATCTAGAAGCTCTTTGAAGATTGGCAAAGACAGAAGACAGTTTCCTGAGAAGTGCCTGACCTTGGTTGAACATCCTTGTGGGCAATGGGTGGCTGGTGGGCAGTTTTAGGTGTGTTGTTCACACAGAAGCAGTGCTAAAGCAACCAAGCTGGTCCTGTGCTCAGTGGAACTGAGTGGGTTGCTCCCGGAATCTTCTACAGAGATTAAGGTCTCATAGCAGATCCACTGGGGTTCCTTAGAAAACAAATGAATATGTATAATCCTACTCTGTTCCTGAGGCATTTTCTTTTCCCATTTAAGATACAATTTTTACAAATTTGGAAATGAAGTGGCCATCCGTGTCTAGCTGTTAGAACCTCAGACTCAGGGCCAAATCCTGCTGGGATTCCCAGGCACAGCCATACACATCCCCCCACCCCTCCCCAACCACTGGTCATTGGGTCGTTTCCAGCTTTTATGAAGGCACTTTCCCCATGCTACAAAGGTTTATTTTCTGACAATAAGATGTTTACAGTAAAATACACTGTTGCTGCTCTTTGGGGACCTTTAACCCTGCTGTTGCTGTAGCATGGCCACCAAGAGCTCTTCCAAAATAGAAGTCGGCCGCCAGATTGAAAGGCCAGCACCTACAACAGCTACATTGATAACACCCGAACAAAAGATTGGGGAGCTGTGCTGCAGGTCGTTGCCACACCTTGTGGTAACAGCATCCAGAAATGAATTAGAGACACCCCCTTTTGATGAAGTCAGGCTGGTGAAAGGATGGTAAGAAGATGCCCTTCTCTCCACTCCACAGGAGTTTTAATCCAAAGCAGCACTTTGTCCAGTTGAACCAGAGGCTGAAAGTGGCAGGCTAATTAGGAGTGCTTATAGATCCTGTGGTAATAGGGGAGGCAGAATCACTGGCTGGTGTGATTACCTCACTGAGGCTAGCCATTCTCCTAGTGCCGGATCTTGGCCTCATGCCCTGCCTCTCGCTTGACTGGCAACCTAACAGGGAAGTACACATTGGAGAGTACAGAATTTCCCCCAGTGATTCACATTAAGACTGTAGCCCGCTGTGGCTTTAGCATGTGTTCATCTGACTCTGCTAAGGCAGTTCAAAAATAGCAAATTAATCGGGGATTTTTGATGCAACTCACTGTGCTGTAAGCAAAGAAGTATTAAATACCTGCAACAGTGGAAGACTTTGCCTGCTGTCTGAATAGTACCCTCTGCTAAACAGTGTTGTGTGTCTATTTCTATTTTGTATTTTTTAATTAAAGGCAACTAGCATTTAGTATTAACAGAGCAATCATAAGTAAGCTTACTTTGAAGGTAGGTCACATTGAATTTAATGGGGCTACCCCCCTACATTGTGAGCACAGGAATGCAACCTAAGTTGCAATGACACCAGTCTTTGATCCTTATTTTCTAAAATATGGGCAGGGGGAGACAATGTTTCTGGTGGAAAGCATTGGAAGAAAATAATGAAGTACTAGTACAGGTTTGGTTTGCAAAAGGAAAGGTAATGTTAGGTGTTAGAAAAACTCTGTGTTTTAAAGATACTGTCCCTGTGGTTCAAGAAGTGATAAAAAGACTGACACTGGAGATTATTCTTGCTAACTGAACCCTGCTAATTTCCCTGCTTTCAAAGATGCAGTCATCAGTCTCACCACTTCCCATCTATTTAAGTACACCAAAATGGGACTGGGGAGAGTTGCTTTAAAAAACTGATTTTCCCATTAGATTAGGCTTCTGACATGTCTACTCAGAAGTCAGTCCCACTGAAATCATTAGAATATACTGCCATGTAGGGTTGTAACCTAGATGCCACAATGGAAATTACTTTATATTACTTCAATAACTGAAATATTCTCTTTGCCTTTGGATCAGTCTCTGGAACCTTTTTTGTCTGGAGATTTTCCAAAGCAGGAGCCCTATCAGAAAGACTGCAGACTCTCTTTCTTTAATCTGACTTCAAAACAAATGGTATTTTTGCTTTTGACTTAAGTGAGTTTTATTTTAGTGCACAGCGCTCTTGGATCTGATTTTTTATTGCCAAAGTGGAGATTTTTATGTGGAGTTTTTAGTTGCAGGTGGTAGCCTGAGGTGCTGGGAGCAGACAGCTGAGGGAAAGTCCCATACTCTACCATAGGAACAAAGGGTCTCACCCTCTTTGTACCTCCATCAGGAATGATTTGAAAAGGGGGCATAGTAATGCCTACAACTCATTTCACCAGAGCAGATGGATTAGGGAAATTTTGCAAGAGTGACTTGAAAAATCACTTTATCAAATCTGAGACCCATCAGATGTGCATGTTGTCTTTTCATGTCTCAAAGAGGCTTCTTCTGCTGTATCTTAAGTACAGTGTATTCTGCTGCTTTCCTACTGTGCACAAAGTGCATGAGCTTGTGGTGATAATGCAGACCAGAGAGCAAAGAATGTGATGTAGGTAAAGCACAAGCAACGGTAAAATTACAACGAGATGAAAAGCCCAGTGCAACTCAGCCTTGCAGCACAGACCTGAATACCCAAAACCAGAATCCTGCACATTCAGAATTGTGCTGCAGTCAATGTTCTTATTTTGTATGTCCTTATTTTGTGAGAATGTGGAAATGCTAAAAGTGGGCAAGGGCCTCTGTGAGCAAGAACCTGCCTCATTGGGTGCAAGCGTCTCTATAAGAACCTGCCTCAACATGAATGAGCTTTTCTACTTACCATCTTCACTATTCTCCTACCAGAGAATCCTCAGACCACCACATACCTGATGCTCAAGTTACCTGGCCCTTGCTGCCTTGCCAGAATCGTAGCTGAAGCAGTTGTTTCTTCTTGTTCTTCATTGCCTGCTCTGTTCCAGCCTCTGATGTTAATCATGCCCCCCCACCCGCCCCCACGCTGCTGGGAAGTGGCAGAGATGATCCCCGTGGCCCTTTTCTTAATGGTAAAGCTTACTTAGCCGTGTCCTGTGCAGGCTTGCCAAGCTTCGTGTCCTCTGCTCCGTAGCAGCACTGCTACTTTTAACCTTCTCTGTGTCATATTCTTCTCTTCCCCTGCAGTGAGAAACGTCTCCTGCACGTGAGCATCACCAACCCAGTCCAGTGCAGCTTGCATGGTCGGAAATGCACCATCTCTGTGGAAACCAGAATCAACCAGTCGGAACCAAACTTCATCAGAAATCGCACAGGCTTCCTTCTCTCTGTGCCTGGGAATTAGCACTACTTCTGCTAGGGGAGGGAAATAGGAGAGAGGCTCAGCACACACACCTGCTCCTGGGCCAGCCTCTGTTCCTCTTGTGCTTTGACTCTTGCAAGGCTGGGAGAAAGGAGGAGGGTTGCCAAGATATTTGTCTGTGGCAGACATCTAGACATCTACAAAACTACCTTTAGCAGGAGCTTAAACCCACCCCCACCATTATATCAGCCATGAAATTAAAAACGACTTCTGAGCCAATTTGTACCAAAGTGCCTTTCATTAATATTCTTTTGCCTCTCCTGTGCTCCCTCCACCTTATACCTAAGGTGGGATGTCTAATGAATTGCCCACATTTGGATGAACAAAAATCTTCTATGGCACCTTGTTGGATTTCAGAAAGACCAAATCTTACCTTTAAATGGGAACTTTACAGGAGAGATTGCTTCCACAAGGCAGGGCCACAGGGCTGGCCGTAGTTTCCCAAAGGGCTGCCCCACCTCATGCATCTTTTTGTTCAAGCAGGTTTTGTTTGAACCCTAAGCATTGCATTAATCCTTCAGACTGGGTATTGGCTGTTTTTCTGGGTTGGTTGTTGTGGTGCAGTGCAGTACCTTACTAACCTTGCATTGCATTCCTGTAAGAGCTTTAGGTGATTCTGCTGGGCACCAGCAGACACTTGAACACAAGCTTTGAAATGTATTTGCAGACTTTTCCCAGTCCCCTTTTGTGTATGGTTTGGCACAGATTCTCCTGCATGATTTTCTTGCAAATGCTGCTGTTAGTGCATAATGTGCTTTTTCAAGCACCTGGCAACAATTCAGCCAGTGTACGTGCCTTTTGTTGGTTATACAGCATTTTGTTGAATAGTGATGCAGCCTTATGAACAGATTTTTATTTCTTCTAGTACCCAAAAAGGTATGCTTTATTTAACACTTATGGGAAACTCTTCCAGCATCTTGAAACACAGGAAGAGATATCCTATCTGGGGCAATAAAGAAACCAGCAAACAGAGAGGAACTGTCTGGCCCCATCCAATATTCTACTGCCTTTGTGACCCAGCTTTCCAGTAAAGGAGCATTGGTGGTGCGGATATTGTTAAAGCCCAGTCTTGGAACATATGGGGCAGGCTTTCAGCTGAGAGGTAGATATGTAGAGGGCAGGGATCAATACTGTCAGGACCAAAACAGATCTGAGGCAGCAAACAGCTCTTTGACCTCTTGGCTGGGAATCCACACTCTGATCCATCTCCCCTGCCTCCCTTGCAGCTGGCACAGAAAAGATGGTGCTGGGTGCTTCTTGGAGGTTAGAAAATTGACCTTGGAGGAGGGGGAAAAGGAGGCAGTGAGGGGAGGAAATAAGCTGTCTAGCTTAACGGTAGAGCAGGAGGCACAGGGAGGCAAATAGCACCTTCTGTCCTGTTCTGGATGCTCACAGGCATCAGAGGCACATTCAGTAGGATTGCACCCTAAAACCTTTGGCCAGTTTCAGCTAGAGAAATGTAAGCCAGAAAAATAAAACCCTGGGCCATTATTCATCCTAGCATTCATTCCCACATCCATCGTCAAGCACATCCAAGCTGACAGGTATTCAGGATGACCTGACTCTTCCTTCCTTCTGAAAAGAAAGTTGGCTCTTGGCTAGTCCTGCCAACCAGATGAAAAGTTTGTTCTCCATTCCCTGTTGCCAAAAACAAAATGGCCATGTCTACCTTCATCCCATCCTCTTTCTTTGCTTTTCTCTTAATTACCAGTGTGCCTTCCAACTTGCACTTGGATAGCAGCCAAATTAGATGCTTTTTAATTAGCACTTTTATATGGTTTCTTAGCATAATGACTGGATTTGAATAATGACAGAAGAGAATTGTGTGGCAAGGAAGTCCTTTCAAATTTGTAAAATTGGCTACATCGTATATAATGAATTAACTGAATACACAGTATTTCTGATTCATATCAGTGTGTGTGTGTGAGAGAGAGAGAGAGACAGAGAGAGACAGAGAGAGACAGAGAGAGACAGAGAGAGAGAGAGGCCAGTTCACATGATTACCATGGACTAAACAAGAAACATGTCAAGTCACAGTTGCCTGTCCATCCACACAACTGATTAACTAGTCCTCAAATAACCCAACAACAGCCCATTGGTTTTTTCACTTTCCAGCAAGCCATGCCATCCGAGATCAGACAATGCAACACGCTGCAGATGGGGGATCAGGAAAATGGTGCCCAGCACACACTGTGGCTTGAACTATGGTGATTGTGTAAATCAGGTCAAAAACTCCAGGTATATTTCTAGATTTTTCTATAAACTAATTTTCATAATTGTACACTTGATTTTTATGCCTGAGAGAGTAATGTAATGAATATTTTAAAATGTAGTTTATATGAAAATGTGGGCAACAACCCAAATGTATTTTGTTTACATAATTAATTGCAATAAATAAAAAGAGCCTCATTTATACCTAATACCTTTCTCAGTGTTTTATACTTGGTAAAAAATGTAAATCTTTGGCAATGTAATGGAATTTGCTTTGCTTTGATTCTTTCTAACACCATTTCTTCAAGCTTCTGGTCCTCAAGATTACAGAACAAATTTTAAAAATAATTTCTGACCTTCAAGGGAAAACAATCTGAAGAATATTCAACAAGTTTCTAATAAAAATGCCACTTTGAACTTTTTTTTTCAATCTTTTCTTTTGAAACTTTTTCTTTAGAACGTACTTTTTGAAATTTCTGTACCGCTCAATATCTGAACATAATACGTTAATAGAATAAACATGCAGATGTGGGACAGGCTGTTCCCTGTGTTAATTGATGGTGCACCAATCAGTGGGAGCTTCCTTGGTTCTGATAACGTGTGGACGAGGGATACGGAGGCTGTCCTAAGCAGGTGTTCATACTGTTCAAGCACCAGACTCTACGGGAAGGGCTGATTTACTGTATGAACAACATTCCGCTGCCAGAAGATGCCTGGCTGCCCCAAGATGCTGCTGATTCCTCTGTCAGTGGGGCTTCTCATTCAAGGCAGGTTTTCCTCTGAGTTGTATAGGAGGTGTCTGCGGTGCTGGACTGCACCCCTAAATTGGTTCACCCACATGGAGAACTATGAATCATGCCTGTGAAGCGCAAAAGGACATCTGCAATGGGTGAGGACTCCTTCTGGCACAGAGCCCCAGCTTCACCTGCTGGTTACCCAACTGGAGCTTTCACACAGAAAGAGGAACCCACAACAAGCATATTCATCAACAGGAATCAGTTACAGCAGGGAAGGCCAGAGTTCTGGTCTGCACCATCCCTACACAACCTTTGGTAGCCAAGTTGGGGGAAATGGCTCCAGAACCTTAGAGGGCTTTTGCCAGGCCAGAGAAGCTAAATGGGACAGCCAAACTTTCCATAGAGCTGCCTGAGTCTATTGTGGTCACGTGGAGGGTGGGATCTTGAACAAAAACGGTATTTGCAGTTCTGAGCTGAGAATTCTTGCTGGGGGGTTGCTCCATGGCATGTTAACTATGTGCACCAGCCCCCTTTGGTAGATAGTTGGGTGTTTGTTTTTGCCGTGTTTGTTTTACTATAGAGTTCATAGATCCCAAGAGATAAATGCAGCATGATCCAACCAATCTTACAGTCCCCTAGATGTTGCTAAGGGCCACAGGATTGCCCTGCCTGTGGCAGTAATTCACAGCTTTGCTCTCAGGTGGCACCAAGTAGGCTTTGCAATACTTCCAGTTCACCGGAGGTCCCCTGGCCCATTTTTGGTGGACAATGGCTGGTGGCTGTGGCATGATCCAACCCTCGGCACAATCCAACCAAATCTGCATAGTTTAAAACTTGAAAGTAACTCCCTTTTGATGCCTGCTTCTGAATAGACAAGCACAGGATGCAATATGAAATATGTGCTTAATGCCCCTACGGAAAACAGTGAGCCAAGTTATTTGCCTTACTGTAAATACAGAACATGAAACAAAATGTATAGGTAGCAGGCTTCCCTCAGACAAAGGGGAGCAAACCACTTTTAAGTATAATGTATTTATGGTTTCCCTTCTTCCTTAACAAGTGTCCACATCATCTTAAGAATAGCCACATTCTATGGAGACATTCTGTGTAGAGCACTGAAAATAGCCTTGTGTTTGAACTGGCAGAAGTGGAATGTACCTTGTATGCAAGCTTCATTTCCTAGCCTAGCCAAAAGGGCAATTAAGGCTTACACATTAATTGATGACCCTTTTTTTCTTTTTAGGAAAACAATCATGTTCACCTAAATGAATAAGACCAGCTTCCTCTTATGAATCACACTGTGCTTCATGCATCATGTCCATAGGGAAAGCAAATCATGAAGCCATGGAGGTGGGGTCTCCCTTCCCCAGGACAGGTCGTCTTTCCAACCAAACTGCTCTTTTTTCTTCAATTCACCTACTACTAGGGTGGCCCAATCTTACATAACCTACTCTTATTCTCTCTCTCTCTCTGAGGAGCATGGGGGCTCTTAATAATGAGTTACAATGTAAGGCACTGAGTAATCCTCAGTAGTAGCTCTTGCTGAAGTACATGCCATGGGAAGTATCTTACTGAATTGCATCTAGGCCTACTTTGATCCTTTGCAGCATTCTTTGTTTTAAAACCTAGCAACCAGCCAGTGCTATGTAGTCGACTGAGAGCTGGGCAGAGGACTGGAAGTATTCCAAACACTACTTGGTAGCTTCTGAGAGCAAAGCCTTGAATCACTGTAACAGACAGAGTGATCCTACAGCCAGTAGACTGATCTAGAGGGTCAGCAGATTGACTGAATTCCCAGCCCCAAGGTCAGAAAACAGCTCTGACAACTGGGGACCCGCACCCAGAGAACCATCCCTTGCAGCAAGCGCAGAGAGAATGGCATCCACCATGTCTCTTGGGCTTTAAGAGAAGCCTCGGAGATCTTGCACTGGGGTTCAGGAGGCGAGACTGGCCCTGCCAAAATGTGATGCATCCTGTCAGCACCTCATCCTCATTTCCTCCAGTGCCGAAGCACTGCTGCCACTTAGGAGGCAGGAGTGCCGAGGCAATCCTCCCCTTGGTGCCCCTCCCAGCCTGCTCAGGAGACCTTGTTTTAGGCATTAAACCCTCTGTCATCAAAGCAAATCAATTATTATTCCTGTCGTCCTCATCATCATCAATAGTTCTCTTCCAGCATCAAACGATAGTTTAAAAAACCTGGTCTGTCAGCCAGTGGTGTAATGGATGGTCAGTGCATTTTATTTTAATCAGCACAGTACAAAAATAAATAAAAATAGGAGGGCATTAAGTTACAGGCACACACAGCTCCATGACAGTTTTGTCATATTTATAAACCTCACATACTTACAAACACACTATAATACACATACATACAAGAAAGAGACCATTTATAAATTAATTTAAGTAATAATAAGCAATCATAATACCAGTTTTGGTCAACAAATACTTACAGAAGAGATTGCACACTTTAAAAAATCCAAAACCCTTAACATATACAGACATGTAGAATTTAGCGGGTTTTCTCTTCTCACCCCTCCAAAACATGTACAGTTATGAAGAATTTCAAGTGAAAAAATGGCACACTTTTCCTGTTTAATTCTTTCAACTGTGGCTTAGAGCAGACTAAACCATTAAGAACTGTGTACAGTTAAGATCAGAAAAAGATTTAGAAGTCTTGAGATTAAAAATACTGATTTGGAGGACCTCGGGCCTGGGTAGCAGTTGGAAGTGGGATGTGCTTGAAATTTGTGCATGGTGATATTTTCTTGTTTTGTTTTGTTTTTGCTTTTGTTTGTTTGCTTTTTTACAATCAGCTGTTCTAAGGTTTTGCCTCTTGTCAAAAGACACACAATGCTGCTTTTGGCATGCACAACATTACCGTAAAGCTGTTATGAAGGAACAGAAGAAGCATCCCTTTTTCTCTCTGTGGTTAGAATAAATTTTGTTCTGAAAGAATTAGCAGCATATTAAAATCCCATTCATTGCTCTCGTTTACTCAAGTATATCAGCTGTTCCTTTTCCCTGTCAGAAAACAATTAATACACAGGGCTGGATCTGCCTTCCATTGATGCACAGAATTCCTTTGCCAATCTAAGGAACTCATTCCTCCCAAAATCTGTCACACCATCCTACACTGCAGCTCATCCTTTTCAGCCAGGTCCCATGCCCGTCTTTGCAGTATTTTCCGGGGCTGGAAGGACTGCTGTAGAGAAGAGGGTGTGGGAAGGTCTGTTTCCACCAGCTCTGTCATCTATCTCTAAATCTGGATCCATCCCATAAGTCCAGGTTGCTAAAGAAAACAAGACAATTTTTTATACCAGGGTATACAACCAGATCACATTTGCTTCCCATGCAGCGCAATCCTATGCATGCAGGACTGCAGGACTATTTTCAGTGGACTGCAGCCTTACATTTTTTGGAATTGTATGGGGTAGGGCAGGGCAGGTCAAAGAAAGATTTGCTTCAAGCAATGGGGACTAAAATTTATTCTGAGTCTTTAAGGCAGGGGTACATATAACAGGCATCTTGTTGGCTGCATGTGATCCCCGCCACTGCTAATACAGGGACAAAATTCTCAGCAGGGGTAAAAAGATGGTTTGTCACCAAATTTCCACTGCAACCTTCAATTGGAGGCTAAAAATGATGTATTTTGCTTGAAAACATGCCAAATTTGTACATTTACATCTCCACAGCAGGTTGCTATGTGCAGATATGGCATGTTTTCAGGCAAAATATGTCATTTTTAGGCTCCCAGGGAAGGTTGCTACTGAAATTTAGTGGCTAACCACCAACTCTTTTTCTGCCACTGCCAAATTTGGTGCCATGGTAACAGCAGGGGTGCAGCCTGCAGGGGCTGGAAATGACCCCCGGAGCCCCCAGAGTTGCCCACCCCTGTAAAAGGTGTTCTAGAAATCAGCAAAGAAGATGGGCAGGAAACGAAGTCTATAATGAAAAATGAAATGATATTTGTGCCATCCATTTTAGAGCAGCAAATAGTCATGCAATGATGATCTATATACCCCCATTTCTCCATCCACCATGGAGACCACAGAGAAGCCCTCCTTGTGACATTAAGGCTATTTTTGCTTCTACGAATCCAAAGGTATACTTAACAGTCAGTGTCCCACTTTTTCATGGCTCAGTTTTTCGCCTAGCTTTTCAGCAATGGCAGGTCATGCTTAGCAAATCCAGCAGCTGTTGGACATGCCAAGATTTCTGTACTTGTCCTCCTCAAAACTATCAGCTTAGACCTTTTCAAATTTCACAGTATTTTTCTGTTCCTCCTACTTTTTTAATAGTGCTTTGCTGCTTTTGAAGTTAATCACAAGCTACGCTATGTAACAACCCTAAGTACAATACAGCCCTCCCTCTGCCTTTCTGCTAGAATGCCAGCATCCGTAACACAAGGAGTGGAAGAGCACCCTAGAATATGTCTAACTTGTCCCTTTGTCTGTCTTCACATTAGAGTGTTGTAGCCTTTTGTCCTTTGCAGTGTCCAGCTTGTGAGAACTTAAAAATGGAGAAAATGCTCTCCATACCAAATGAAATTAACATCTTCAACAGAATTCTAGTTCTGGACTATTTTCATGTAATACACATTGTCATTAACTTAGCAAAATTCAGTGTAGCTTTTTATGTCCCCCTTCTCTACACAATTTATATACATTTACCATCCCTGAAGCTAACTTAATCTCTTCCTTTTTGGGAACTGGAAAGCTAAACAAAATTCAGATTCCTACACATCAGAATCAAATGTTTAAGAGCCTACATCAAATGCTTAGGTGCAAAGGGTGGGAAAAATATTGAAATGCTGAGGTGCTGGCATATAATCTGTAGGATCAAAAGTGGGGCCTATACATCTGAGAACAGACTTGTAACTAAAATGTGCAGTATTTGAACAGGCTCATGGTCACCCTATTCTGAAACAGCCAAGTTATACAATGCAAAAAACATTGTACCTCAAACACCTTCCCAAACAACTTGGCAGCAAAATTAATACCAGCCATCCCTTGGGAGCATCTTGAATCTCAGTCCCCTTCCCATATTGACTACCTTGTTTTATTTTCTTCTGGACTTTAACAGGAAGTTATCTCAAATCTCACCTTTGCCTTTTGGCACTGATGCTTAGAAAGAGCCCCACAGAGCCCCGGATGTTGACCCCCAGTGAAGAGAGTGGTAGAGGTGATCACATACAGAAGGGCATGGATGTGTCTTGTATATACTAGCCTTTTCGTTGCCTGCTTCTGATGCTTTTGTTTTCATGCAATAAAGAGTCTGTTTTGGAGGCCAATACTATGCTGGTGCCATTTCACTCAAATCAGTGTGCAAAGTTATCACACTTAAAAGAAGTAAATCCCACACTTGGCTCTTCACTCTGGAATACCAGCTGCTGAAAAATCCCCTGGATCGGGTCCCTACATCTTCTTATGGACCATTCTTGCTGTTCTCCACAATCCACTGTGAGGCATTAAGAAGTGCAAGATGATTCTCCCCAGTCAGGCAAGGCCAGTGGGGGCAGGAATGCCAAGGTCTCGCACGGCTGGCTTGGCTCTCCACTCCTGCTCACCTTCTCATTGCTTACGCCGAGTGGAAAGGAAGCTGTATCCAGCACATGCAGTGAAACAGAGAACCAGACCCACAAGCCCTCCTCTCCTTTGTTCGTTTCGCTTCCAAGAAGTCAAGCCGATAAAATGGCGGAGAAGAAATGTGGCTTGTGGCCGATCAGCCTCCTATCTGTGTCCTGGTTTGTTCTGAAAATGAAAACAACATAAAAGAAGGAAAATGGACTGTTCCCCTCCATCCAAGTGGCAGTGAGGTATGCTCACCGGTCTAGGCCAATGAGCAGCCTGTTCTTCTCTTCCTGGCTGCTTTCGTTCTTCAGGTCAGCAAAGACCTGTGTGAAATAGTGTGGATCAGCATTGATCTGCAACATTTTGGGACTCATGAGGTTAATGATTGATAGGCAGCGATCCCAAAAGGCCTCTTTGCAGCTCTCCACCAAGAAGGGCTTCAGAGGGTAGGAGATCTCATTGCCCATGTAGGAGTAGGAGAGATAGAGACACGTAAGTAAGATGGCTTGGAGTTCATGGTCTGTGGCTACTTCAGAGGAGATGACATCACGGCAAAGCATGTACAGAAAGACTACGTTGGCCGGGGTGATGAAGCCTTGGTCTTGCCAGCCTTGCAGAAGAAGGGACCGGTCAACACTCCGAAGCCACAGGACCGGATCGGTGGGGGAGAGGTGCTTCAGCCGGTAGCACCGTCGGCAGAGGAACTCGCCCAGGCATCGCAGCAGTTCGCTAGTCGACGCTTGCACAATAACTCTCTTGGGGGTGCCAGATAGGTTGGAGTTGGGGTGGGGGGTCTTCTTGATGGAGGAGAGGGTGCTTTTGGAGCTTGAGATCTGGTTGTTGGTGGCAGGAGGCTGGGCACTCTGGTTCTGGGCAAAAGTGGAGAGGTTGGCGCAGGAGAGGGACTTCTTTAGGTTCTCGTTGTTGAGGTGGGTAACATTGTTCTGGTAACTGCTGTTGGGCTGCACCTTCTTGGAGTTCTTCTTTTTGGCCGACACAGCTACAATCCTTTTCCAGGGCAGCACCGAGATGATGGAGTGGCGCTTGAGATTCTTCTCCTTGGCATTCTTGCTGTTCTGGACAGCCGTGTAATGTCCCACCGTTGCTGAACCGTCCTCAAAGAGGGTCGCTTTCCGATAACTAGGTGAAAGGGACAACACAGTGCCCATGGTGCAGCTGTGGGGAGGAGGAAAGGGAGCTGAACGGAGCCAGGGGCTGCCACTGCTGGGACAGGGGGTTTCTACTTCCAACACCCCTTCCCCTCTGCCGCTGCTTTTACCACCCGGGTTCAGACCTGCCAAAGGCAAAAAGGTTCAGGTCAGATCCATTTCTCTCTGATGTGCAAGTTCCCTTTCTCCCATGGTGCACCAAGGCCCATCTTTCACCACCTCCCCATTCTTCTTTCTAAGTTTTGTTATAGCCATGGCTTCTCACCCCCACCCCAAATCTTCCTGCCTTGCTCTGATGCCTCCTCATATTATTAAAAGGCCGTATCCTACCCTAGAAGCAGAAACGAGACACGCACACGTGTCCATGCTTGCATGTGTCTGGTCTGTCTATGCAACCACATTAGTATTGGCCATGTAGGAGGTAGCCATATTAGTCTGCCGCAGCAAAAACAAAGAGCGCTGTAGCACCTTCAGGACTAACCAGCTTAATTATAGCAGCAGGTTTGACGGGCCAGAGCCCACTGAGTCAGATGGAAAGTGTCAGATGTGCAGATGTCTCTCTAAATAACGTATCTATCCATACACATCTGGTGCGGCCATATACACCTACAGCATCAGTCATGCGTTTTACATAATTACAGTCACGCAGCTTATCCATTTTAAGCTCCGTACCTTTTGGAGTCAAGCCACCAAACAGCTGTCAGGGATGATGCCTATTTACCTCCAAAGCCAGCTTTCCTTTTGCCACCATTTTCCTCTGCCCGATCTTTGCATTCGCGGGGCCACCCACACGCGCGCGCGCGCGCGGTTCCAGACCCCTTCCTCCCGCCCCGCAATTTTGCTGCACTCCTTCCCCCCCGCGCCCGCACAGCAAGGGGGAGCGGGAAGGATGTGATGGCGTCTGCTCTTCTCCATCCCGCTGCTCGTCTCCGTGGTACCCACCGCAGTGCGCCCGCCTCGGAGCCGCTGAGTGGCGTGGCTTCTGTCCAAGGTCCTGCAGAAACCGCTCCGCTCCGGCTGAGGGGAGGTGGCGGAGGGGCAGGATGGGGGCCGTCCAGCGCCCCCTCCCCCCGGCTCCGATCTACCCCCAGTCACACTTGGACGTACATGGAGATCTTCTCGTGGTGCGCGGCACATGAATGGAGCTCCCCCCCGCGGCCCGCCCCCCTCCCCGGAACGGCGCGAGACGCCCGAACCGGCCGCCGATCGCCTTTCCCGGCACCGGCTCGGTGGCTGCGCCCGGCTGACTCCACGTCCCGCTCGCCCCGGCTCCGGCTCCGGCTCCGCTGCGCCTGGCTGGCTCCGCCTCCGCGCTGGCCGCGCCTCTGTCGGCTCTGCAGCCCAAGCCGCAGCCGCAGCGCGCCCCCGCCTGCCAAGCGCGGCGCCCCCTGCCGGCCAGCAGCGGCGCCGAAGCGGCGCCACGGGGAGCCCCGGAAAAGACTGTTTCTGAGCGCGTGCAGAGAGTAGAACTTGCCTTCCAGCCGGCGCTAGCCGCTTTGGCGACCTGTTAGCCGGGAAAAAGCGCCTCTGTTCTCGGGCAACTCGCCTGTCTTGGCGCTGAACAAGTCTTAGTTCCTCCTTCGAAAAGATCCGCTGAAGCGGAGAGCAACAAGTTTGGTAAGGTTAGGTATTCAAACTGAGCTGTTGTAGAATACTGGAAATATTTCAAAAGATAGGCTGTGCTTGACCTTTGTATAAGTGCAGCCCTTTGCAGCAAAGGCACAAAATTTTAAGAGCTGCACCACACATGTCCCGGATGCAAAAGGTTTCAGATTCATTTCCTGGCATGGGAAAATCCTATCTGGCTGCTGCCAGTAATTGGCGATGAAAACCGAGCTAGGTGGGCAATACTTTGGTAAAAGCAACTTCCTCTTTTTCTCCAAAACTCGTGGGTATGTGCCTCTTTTACCGTGGAATCGGCACTTGCTGTTCCGTCCCTTTAGGCAGTCACTGTCAGTTTCCCTGCATATCTCTGCGCAGCTGAAAGCTCTCAGCAATTCAGCTCCATGCCATACGTATCCTTCTTGCGCGCAAACAGTCCTGTGGGGGTACGTTTCAGAAGGAATCCAGGATCTGTCTTCCAGGAAAGGAAGAGTTCTGCTCGTGGAAGGTTCCTCTGCCCGATTTTGGGTGACTCCCCCCGCCCCGCCCCCGTACAAAGCTCCGTCTGTGGACCATCAGCGGGCTCCGGGTAGCGTTTGCAACAGTACTGGAGGGGCTGCCCTGGGAGGTGGAGACGGGGGATCCCATTGCCGCCGGCGCAGCTGACCCGGACCCAACCCAGGTGTTTTCTGCATGCCACTTAAGCTTGAGTTTGAGAGGGGATGGTTGCAGCTAGGTTCTATTTTCAGGTCAGACAGGTTCCTGTCTGGCTAAAGCAAAGGGCAGCTAGCTGTGTTTTTGCTGTCTCTGCAGATCACAGTTAATCTTTCTCGATTACATTGTCCCCCAGTGTGCTGGCTGGGAATGCTGGGAGATCAACACATCTGGATTACTTTGGCTATTAGACAACATAGAACGATAATAAATAATAGACCTGGATGGTGCTAGTTTGATGGAGGCTGATTTTTGCCACTATCATTCCTCTTGCCTTTAAAAGCGCCTGGGTTCTTTTTGTCTGTGCTTGCAAATAGTGGCATCTACTGACCAGCGACTGTATTACATCTCCAAGATTAAAGCCGCTGGAGAGAGAGGCGATTTCCTTTCCGTTTATCTGTAGATGGAAAGTCAGAACAAATCCCCCCGTTGTAACCCGAACACAGGATGGCTAACCTTATTTTTAAAACTCTGGCATCTCAGTCTTTTGAGGGCAGATTTGCTTTAAGGACTTGCAAGACAAAACAACGATGTGCAAAGTGCCTTTCTGACAAAAGCCAGTATTGTAAAGGCCAACCTAAGCATAGTGGCTTTGAGCATGTGCAGAATATTAGTTCATTATTTTAATTAAAAAGTGCATCTTCTAGACAGTAGAAGAATCAAAGCATTAAATGCATAGGCATTTGATCATTTTGAATACTCCCAGATATGAAAATAGTCTGTATTCTGCTAGCCCATTAAGGCACAGATCAGGATGGAACCTTTTCCTCAGGTGTGTGAAGTTAGCATTTGCATTTGCTGAGAAATCTCCAACCACTGCATGGGAATGTATAACAGACCTAGCTGCTCATTTTAACAGACTCAAATGTTCCATTAATGTGCTTGGCTGCTCCATAGTTTAATTCCCCTTCTTTTCTGGAAGGCTTAGGCAGGAAGGCTTTTATTTTTTTGTCCCTAGTTGATGGGATGAGTAGGCCCTCTTCATATCTGCTTCCTTCTCCCCTTCTCTGAAATAGCACAAATACTTTATGAGACTTTGTATACTTTATAGAACTTGCTGCACTATAAAGAGTTTTGCTTCTCTGCTTTCCAGATTTACCGTCTCCATCCACATCTCCTGTACTTTCTGCTCCAGACATTCCACACCTCTGCCTGTCATCCAAGACAGTGGCCCCATGGCTCTTCCAGCCTCACAAGAACGTTCCCCACCTCCCTCCCTCCTCCCCCAGCAGCCCCCCTTCCTGAGTCCAGTGCCCCACCGCTTGCCACCTCCACCACTCCTCCTGACACCAGATGGCGCCCTTCCCCCCCCCCCCACCAACAATGGCTGACGATACAGATCTGCCCGGATTCACATTTACTTACTTATTAATTTAAAAACAATTTCTACCCTGCATTTATCCAAAATGGATCTCAAGACAGCTTCATTCAAGTGAGCTGAATTTATGGAGAGCCTTTCTAAAGAGGGCTTTTGCTGTGTCCAATATTTGTATAAACAATGTATGTACATTTATTTTGTACTTTTATTTGTTTTGCATGACATCTAGGATTATCACTCCCTCTCACAAAAGAAACTGTTTTCTGATTGAATCACGAGTTTTGATAAGTAATTCATATCTGCAGCACGTAAGCCAATGATCTTGAAGAAAAAAATAATTTGTTTTTAGATAATGTCTGATGCAAGATAGATGTTCTTTGATTTTAAAGTGGATGTTTAAGCTGTCTTGGGCATCCTATCATATATGATGGAAAGGTGAGCTATCAATACCTGCACGCATTGCATAAGGAAGAAGTGGGCACCTCCTCTAAGTTGCCTCTCTCCCTATTTTATAGTAAAAATAATCTATCTGTAAATTAGAAATGGGTTGTCTGATTTGTCAAGGGCATCTTTTTAGTCAGCCAAAAGTATTTCAACTGATTAATTTAACTGGTTTAATTTAATTGTCCAAATGTTGTAGCCCTAATAATGTTTATTATTATTAGTTCATTTTGGTGCTGCTCCACAGCTGGAGCACTCTGAGCAGTTTACAACAATCCATAAACAGGCAACAAAAATGCAATAAAAATCAGAAAATCAGAAAGAAAAACATTAAAATTTTGAAACCGCTAAAAGGGACAATTATTATTAATAGCAAAGAATGACTCTGCAAAACGGCTGGGATGGGTGTTTTAAAATGTACCTTAATTTGGGCTGGGGCCTGTGTGGTCAAGCCCTCACAGTCTTTCTTATGCCTGGGCAGCTGTCAAGTTCAAGAAGCCAATCCAGACCAAATTCCGTATGCCTGTCTTCAACTGGGTGGCTTTGAAGCCTAACCAGATCAGTGGAACCATGTTCAACGATCTTAATGACGAAAAGGTCCTCCAGGTAAGTCCATGACCAGATCTGTCCTCCCCATTTTCTTCTCATTTGCTGGTTGGCAGGAGGAGGTGTCCGCGGGGTGGGTGATCCACTATCACAGTCCAGGAAGAGACGGATTGCCTTATTAGTGACCTGAGCGCGCTCCAGCACCAGCTCCGCTTCCTTCATCCACTTCCTTCCATGTTTCAGAAGCAAAAATAATACCCAAGTCACTCCTTTTCCTGTTCTGTTTGTGACTTAGTTCATTTTCTGATGACTCCTGCTCCTCCTCTCTCAGTGAAACGCCTTCAGTTACACACGTGGGACTGACTTCAAACTGCTGCCCTGTGCAGACTTCCTCTGCCCAGAGCTTGCTCCTGGCATTCCTCTTGCCACTCAGCCCAGAGCAGCCGACCAAGTCTTGCAAGAGGAATGCATCAAAGGTTCATGAGGGGCACTGATAACCTTTGTGAGTCTCCCAATTCTTTCTCTCTCATACACAGTCACACACTAAAAAGGGGAGCTACTGCTTGTCTCTTTATCTCTCACAGCTGCAGAAGAGGCAGAAATTCAACAGAAATTTCCCCTTTGTTGCTTTCAAAATTATTAAAGAATTGCATTTAATTAATTTTGCTCCCCACATCCTTGCCCTGCTTCCACGGGCTCTATGAGAGCTGACTGATATTGGAAAAACAAAACTATTTTACTACTTTTTTCATCAGGAAGGCCAAGTGCATTGAAGGAGAATAGTTCCAGTGTTTCAGTGAACTAGCTGGGAAATGGTGTCATTTAATTTTGTCTTGGAATACACAGTTTAATAACATAATACCAGAAATGCATTTTATGGTAAAAGTGTTATACCAATAATTAAGTTGCCAAATACTCTCTCCCTCTGTGTGTGCACATGTGGGCCTGTATGTTCAGCTGCCAGCTCTGTGCTCGTCTTTATATGATGCCAAGTTTTTATCCCTGAGAAGATCTGGCAACAGATGCAGAGCATCCCCATCCTATTTGCAGACCGCGTGGCTCCATCTGTGGGATGGTGTACACCACGGAGGGGACGCTTCATCTCCAGGCACAGAACAGATGGAGCCGCATCACGGGGGATCTCCAGTAACTTACTTCCCCTTAGCTGATGTCCAACAGTGTACCACCTGGCTGAAGGCACTGGGCGCAGAAGCCACTTTGCATCCAGCATTCCAAGCTGGGGGCAAAGAGGAGAGGACCTCTTCCAGAACATGGTATTTCCCTTGGCTTCACCAATGGGGGAAGATGTGGGCAGGTGAAACACCCCCCCCCCCCCCCCCGCTAACACACCAGGTGTACCATTCTCTAACAAACACCTTGGCTGTGCCTCCCCAGCAGAGAGCCGACATAGCCCTGGCAAGGG